GTCGAGTATCAAATCATGATATAGGTGAGGGGAACTCCCATCGCTAAGTGTGCTTGATCCGGAAAGGCTATCGCTAATCTGTTTTCAGAAATTGATCGTACGCGTTGACTTCTACATTTCATCAAGATTTAGGACCAATCCAAACACTCTACATGTTATGGTTCTGATCCTGCGTGCCGAACTTCGTATCACGTGACTACGTCATTCCTCTCAAGCGATATATATTCTAACAAGAGATGCGAACCCGCAAGCGGGTGTCGCTGAAAGAGAGCCTGGAGGAACGAAGCTAGAGTTCGCAGTCTTCGAATCTCCCTTAAAAGAGTACTCGAATTATATTCACAGAAGCATCATAAAAGGCTTATTTTCCATTATTCTAGGTTGGTTTTAAGATATGATGCTACGGCAGTCATATGATAGGCCAAAGAGTCAACATGTTGTATACCATAAAGATTTTGGGCAATCAGAGCTTCCTGCGTGACTAGTTATTATAGTCTGTAATAGCAAGCACTAGAAATTCTGCATCGTAATACGCGTGGGAAGTTAAGGTGATCGGCAAGCAAACAAACGCGTCGCGACGCGTCAAGAGCGCACACATCCAGCAACAGACGAGCATCACGAACCTACACGACTAGTGGCCATCATCTGTGGTAGCGACCACTGAAGCCCTATACCACACTACACGTAGGAACCCGGGCAATAGAAAGGACTACCAGGAATGCCCCCCGCCCTCCCGAGGGCGCCTCCAGGAAGAAGGGGCACAGTAACACCGACATCCCGAGAGCCGCCAAGCACGGGATCGACCCCTATGGCATCAGGAGTCACAACGAGAGCAGGGAAGGTAACCCAAGAGACGGCAAAGGCCAGAGCCCGGGAGGTAAACGAACGACTGCAACAAGAGATGGCGGCTAGCCAAAAGAAGGATCACGGCTCGAGTGACGCGATTACCAAGATGCTCCGAGATGGCATCGCGGCAATAGAACAAGGAATCAAAGCACAGACAATGGAACTGAAAACCGAGAACGAAAGGCTGAAAAGCGAACTAAACAGCATGACCAACAAATTCGAGAACGTCACGAACAAATTCCAGGATATGGAGAAGACGGTCGAGACGCTAAGACAAACCGTAGAGAGAGTAGAACAAACCGTGCTTAGCCAGCCTAGTATAGCTAGCCCCGTAGGAAGCACGCGAACGGGATCATACACCGCAATCGCCGCGGCAAGATCGAACAGCCTGACAGTCCCTTCCCCGACGATGCTCTCACCATCGATCGCCATTACACCACCAGACACCATCCCAGATCTTCGTTCCGTCTCCGACCCCGTCGTGACACGTATCCCCTCTCCAGGAAACGGCCAGATAAGGAGGGAAAACCACAGGCCACCGACGGTTAACCTCAACCTTTCGGCTTCTCGATATAGTTCGGCCGGTAATAAGGAGCTTAAGGAAATGATGAACAGGACCCTACAGGCAACCGACGAAACGAAGAATTGCAAGTGCACCGCCGTACTAAACCGCCGACCAGAGAGCATAGGCTTCGTCTTTCGATCACAACAGGAAGTCGAAACCATAGAGACAGCACTACCATGGGCCAACGATCCAACGCTCCAGGACATAAAATTGAATATCCGCGAGGATTTCAAAGTCAAAGCAACAGGAGTCGACAGATTCTCGGTAGGCAACCCAGAGACAGGTCGACGGATCGATGAAGATATTGTTAAGGCCATCTGCATCGAGAACGATGCCCAGATCCGCGGCATGCGACTACTTAGCCGGCCATCAGCCAACCTGAGAATCGAGTTAGTAGTCTTCTGTAGATCGCAAGCAGAGAAAGATAGACTACTCAACGAAGGATCGATCTCTATCCAGGGATCATACGTGAGAATTAAAGAGTTCTTCGAAACACCACGAAGCAGACAATGCTTCAAGTGCCAAGGTCCCAACCATAACGCAGCGGACTGTACAGAAGACGCAAGGACTAGAAACGCCCCCCAGGTAGAAGACCCCCTCCGGGTAGTAGACGCATGGTCTAGAGACGTCCCCCAGGAATTCTTTAATGCGTAGTAAACCTCTGAGAATACTACAGGCCAACATGAGGAAAATGCCAGAAGCACAGCACGCACTGATGAACGACGAATTATTACAGGATATCAGCGTTATCCTGATACAGGAACCATCTTGCTTCCTGACAGACGACGATCGAGTGGTCGCAGCACCATCTACACACTCATATTTCCAACAGTTCATCCCAAACGAAACCCATAAGACACTACGATACCCAGTGCGGTCACTGATCTATGCAAGCCACCAACTGCGACCCAGGCAGATAGAGGTAGGGTCACCAGACATCACAGCAATCGAAGTGGAGATCAACGGACGAGAGATGATTATCATATCAGTCTACGTACCAATACAAGCAGCAACAGTCGCGGAGAGCCAAGCCCAGGTTAGAGAGATACTAGACTTGATTGAGAACACGACAGTAAGATTCCCGTCCCATGATCTACTAATTGCTGGGGACTTCAACCGTCACGATCAGCTATGGGGAGGGGACAGGGTCAGAGACAACCATGGGGAGGATATTATCCAATTCATGCATAAGCAAGGATTACAACTTGCCCTCCCCAGGGGTACCTCTACACACAACTCAGGAACCACGATCGACCTCTGCATGGTATCAAGCCGGCTATTCGAAGACATGCTCCGATGTACAATCTGGCCTACCGAGTATGGCTCGGACCATAAAGCAATCGAGTCCCAATTTGACCTAGTCCTATACGACTGCACGAACGAACCAAGAAGGCTCTTCCGGAAGACTAACTGGAAGAGGGTAGCAAAAACCACCAAGGAAGGGATAAAGAACCTGCAAATCCCACCAGACAAGATAATCCCAAAAGAGAAAATCGACGAGTTCAGTACCCAGCTAGTCCAGATTGTTACAGAGGCGGTCCTTCAAGACACCCCAGTCGCCAGGCCATCGGCATTCTCAAAGAGATGGTGGACAATGAACCTCACAGACCTCAAAAACGCGCATACAAGGGCGAGAAACGAAGCAGCCTCAACGCGAAGAGCAGGAACCCCCAACAACCGCCTAGAAGAGAAAGCCAGGGTAGCTAGGAAAACCTTCCACGATGCGATACGGAGACAACGAAGAACATGCTGGAAGGAATTTCTTAGCGACAACAACAATATCTGGAAAGCCGCAAAATACCTTCACCCAGCCCAGTCAAGCGCGTTTAGGAGGATATCAGTCCTTAAGATAAACGAAGGGCTAGCGAAAACAGACCAGGCAATATCAGAGGAACTCCTTATACAGTTTTTCAGCCAACCGGCAGACGCCCTAGAGCCACCCGAAGCTAGAGAAGGACACCAACACCCATGGAAAGAGATCACCAAAGAGGAAGTGCGAGAGGCGATCTACAGAGCAAAACCCTTTAAGGCACCAGGACCAGATGGGCTCCCACCAGCGGCCTGGCAGAAACTGTGGCCAGAAGTGGGAGACCACGTACATGTACTCCTGCAAGCGTCAGTCAGAGAATCGTACCTCCCAGAGCAATAGAAGATTGCGCGGATCGTCCCGCTTAGAAAACAAGGCAAACCAGACTACACCCTCGCGAAGGCATATAGGCCTATCTCCTTGCTTTCCACCCTGGGCAAGGCGCTAGAGTCGGTGCTCGCAGAACGCTTATCTTTTCTAGACGAAATGCACGGGATACTCCCAAAAGCCCACTACGGAGCAAGAAAGCAGAGATCGACGACCGATGCCCTCCAGCTAGTTACAGAGCAAATCTACCAAGCATGGAAACAGAAGAAGATACTATCGCTAGTTACCTTCGATGTCAAAGGCGCCTTTAACGGAGTCAACAAGGGAGTACTATGCCAAAGACTCAAGGAAAGAGGAATCCCACCAGAGATTACAAGATGGGTGTACGAATTCTGCGGAAATCGGAAGGCATCAATCATGGTTAATGGCACTGAATCAGAAGTTATGGACATCGCCCACGCTGGTTTACCACAAGGGTCGCCACTCTCCCCTATCCTCTTTCTCTTTTACAACGTAAACCTCGTCGCAGGGAAGGTAACAGACCGCTCGGGAACGATGGCTTTTGTAGACGACTTCACAGCCTGGGTAACAGGCCCAGACATCAAGAGCAATATCCAGCGAATCCAGGAACAAATCCTACCGAACACCGAAAAGTGGAGCCAGGAAAGCGGTGCGCTGTTCGAACCGGACAAGACCCAACTTATTCACTTCACCAGACGCTGGAAACGGGACGAGAACGAGCTCCTGCCACTGGTATTTATGGATAACGAGATAGCCCCAGCATCAGAGATCAAACTCCTTGGAATCATACTAGACCAAAAACTCAATTTCCAGAGCCACGCGAGAAGAGCAGCGAAACGAGGGGAAATCGCGGCAATGGCGCTCCAGAGACTCAAGGGACTCAACCCGAAAACAGCGAGACAGATCTTTACGGCAACAGTTACACCGACCACCGACTATGGGGCTCAGATATGGTTCCCAGGATCGGCAGGTACAGTAGCCCGCCATATCGAGAGAGCTACCAAACTAGGAGCGAGTGCAATCACGGCTATATTCAGATCGGCAGCGAGCGAGGTCGCAACCGCGGAAGCAGGAGTCGAAACGGTCCAGGAAAGACTCCACGAACTCACCCGGAAACACTGGATCAAGATGCATACAAAACCACAGAATCACTACGGATGGAGACTCATCAAGCGTCTGTTTAAAGCTAAGACACACAGATCCCCACTCGAAGCTACAGCCGAGCTCTTCCAACACATCAATCTGAAATCGCTTGAGAAGACAGCAGAATTCGTCAAGCCGCCGTGGCAAGACCCGCCAAGAGTCATCATCGAAGAGGAAGCGGCCGCAATAACAAGGGCAGCCCAGCTCGGCCTCAGAACTATCTTTACGGACGGATCATGCAGAAACGGCCTTACCGGCATCGGAATTCACGCACCAAATATCTGTGAAGGATCGAAGATTGAATTCAGTCTGATGCCTTGGGGCCTTGGGATGTGGAGGCCTTACGGCCTCACGATGTGTTGTGGTCACCCCAAGGCCTACTGAATATTTCCCCTCACACTTAGATCTCCCTTTCCCCTTTGTAGATTGATTCTAGTATATCACGAATCACAGAGTTTTGCCTCATTCTTCGTGCCCTGACATAATCAATCTACCTCCCCATAAAAGTTGAGGCTTCATCCGGAATCAGAAAAGACAAATCTGGCTAGACTGAACACAATCCTCGAGTCCGACGACTCACCCTCGGAGAATTACCCTACATTAAGAAGAGAACCCATGTCTCATTCAACCTCTCAGGTGGACGACCATTCCCAGACCTCCGGCATGTCCCAAACTACGTACCCCCGCCTAGACTCCAATAGGAGATACTCCTTACGAAAGGTAGACCTAGGTGGAGGCAACGTTGGCGTCGGAATTGCTGAACAAACCGTCCCCGGAAGTTATGAGAGTGATGGAGATGGTTCTCATGAAAACGATGACGAAAACGAAGGACAGCCTGATCGCCGACGATCATCGATCCGACGGCCTATCGCGCTGCCCCCAGCTGAAGCCCTGCACACTTGCCAGACTGTAGAGAACTTCGCCGCTCAGGTGAAGCACGAACCAAAAGCTTGGTTCAACGGAATGATTGCTCTTACCGAAGAGGCTGAAGGCATGGAAAAAGAGCATAAGAAAATGATGATTAGGATCGCCGCACTGAATCATGAAGCGGCCAATCTCGAATCTAAACTGATTGAAACCGAAGACGAACTGAAAACCACACGAACCATGCTTAAGGAGAGGACGTTCCTTCCTAATCGCATCGAAGCTCTAGAAAAGGATATCCAACGAGTCCGCACCAGACGTGATCATTGGCGCCTAGTGTCCGAGACATCCTAGAAGGACTTGAACGCAGCTAATGATAAGATTACTGAGCTGATGAACCGACTCGAAACCGAACCTAAGCAATCACACGACGATGGGCCGTATGATTCGGACAGAGACGACCGGTCAGTGATTATTGGTGAGGAACGCCGTCGACAAGAATCCCGTATCGAAACTCCGGAATCTAGAGTCACTTGCCAGTCCGTAGCACCTTCGTCGTCTACTCCCGGATTCTCACGGAGGAGATACCCTAACCCCCTAGTCTTCACTGGAGACTCAGGCAAGGACGATTACGAACCTTGGAAGCTGCAACTCACGAACAAACTGAGCCAAGAAGCCAACATCTACCCAGACACGGCTTCGCAGGTTGGGTACGTTATGCACTTCTTGTCTGGCACCGCATTCAAAGTGGTAGCCCGTAGAGTCAGCCCAGAAACTCCCTAGAATGAACGCTATCAGACCTTGCAAGAACTCTTACACGATTTGGATAACAACTTTCGTGTTAAACATAGGGAGGAAAAGGCGGAGAGGCAGATCTTTAACCCGACGTTTCAACAGAAAGACTCCGAGTCTTTCGACGAATTCTGGCCTCGATTCAACTCGACGATCGCAGATATCCCCAGCCTTAGCAGTGAGAAGAAGGTACGTTACTTGAGGCGTTGTTTAAAACCCGCATTGCAAGATGCAATGTCGAGCAACCTTTCGGAAGATTTCGTATCGTTTGCAGAGGCCTGTCGGAAGACGGAAATAAATATGACCGACGCCAAGAGGGCCGCCAACAGGTCACGTGCAGCGCCGAACAGCCAGAACTCGACGAGTACCTCTCGTCGTCTGCCTAACAAGAGCGGCACGGCCACGGATACTTCGAACGCCACTGCAAGAGACCTAAGGAATTTTCCTTGGGGACGAACTGCGGAGCAACGAGAACGCCTGAAGAGGCTAGGGAAATGCTACAAGTGCCTACAGAAAGGCCATGTCGCAAACGACGAGAACGCACCATGCAAGAATGGCTACCCACCTAAGCTCAAGGAATCGGACCTGGAGCTTCGGTCTTACCTGGTGGGCATATCGACCAACTCGTCCAATGCAAGGATTTCTGAACCAAATGCCCCTGCCCAGGTTCCGCGGACCAAGACGGCACAGGCCGAGCCGCGAGCGTCCTACCAATCGGACTCTGACTCGGATCAGGGAAACTAGGAGCTCTCACTCACAGTCGCGAGTGGGAAGCGAATCAGTCGCGCTTAGCCACCTTATCCGAACCCGTTAGACTGAGACTAACCTGTATAATTACTCCTGAAAACAAAAACAAAAAAAACGAGAAAAACTCCTTAAAAGCAGGAAAACAACTGGAAGCCACTTGTCATATTTTTTCCCCCAGAACCCAATTGTACACTAGGAGTAGGAGTCTCTTCGACACCGGTGGATCCGGGACTGCTTTTGTCGATGCTTCGTGGATCCGCCAGCACAAGGTAGCAACCATTGCCTTAAAACGAAAGCACACGTTACACTACGCGGACGACGACTCGACGGCCAATATTACACATATGGCATTGGTGAGGTTCCGACACAGGGACCACTACGTTGAAGAATTGGCATATGTCACCAACCTTGGACGATTCGATTTGATTCTTGGGATGCCTTGGCTTGAGGACCACGACGCGAACATTGCTTGTAAAGACCGCACTGTCACATTTGCCGGAGACGAGTGCCTCGGAAGGTGCCTACTTTCCCACAGACCTGTCAAGATACGCTGCCAAGGGGCCTCGAAGATCATAGAAGAGATAGGAAACGACCCGAATGGTCCAGACATCGAATTCATCTCTGCATCAGCCTTTGTGAAAATGGCCTCCCGTCCCGATCATGTGGAGACAGCCCTCTGGCCACAGGATTTCGAACGGCTAACCAACAATGCGACCAGCTCCAAGCCACCCGTTACTATGGACTTAGCAGCAGCTGCAGTCTCCGATGACTACAGCAAATTCTATGAGAAACTTAATCAGGAACCGATTTCGAAGGAATTACTCAAGAAGCTCATCCTACCGGATTTCCATGAATTTATCGACAGGTAGGACCCTAAGGAAGCATCCAAGCTCCTACCGAAGCGACCTAGAATTGACCATCAGATCAAACTTGACCCCTCTGCACCACCTCCAGCGAAACGCCTTTTCGGAGTGTCCAACAAGGACGCGGAGGTTGTGAAAGCTTATGTCGATAATATGCTTGGGAAAACCTACGTTCGAAAAAGCACGTCTCCGTACGCAGCCCCGGTCCTGGTTGTGAAGAAACCTGGAGGGGGACTACGGATTTGCATAGACTATCGATCTCTGAACGCAGTCACTATCCGGAACAGGAACGTGCCCCCCTTGATCAAGGAGACTTTGGCCAAGCTATGCTCAGCTCGATGGTTCACGAAACTCGATGTGATAGCAGCGTTCAATGAGATAAGGATGGCGGAAGAAGATATTGAAAAGACCGCATTCTTGACCAGATATGGACTATACGAATATGTCGTCATGCCCTTCGGATTGACAGGTGCCCCTGCAACGTGGCAAGCTTTCATCAATGACACGTTGAGGGAATATCTGGATCTGTTTTGTACGGCTTATTTGGACGACATCCTGATCTACAGCACGAATAGAGAGGACCATGTCTCTCACGTTAAGGCAGCCTTGACCAAGCTCAGAGGCGCAGACATTTACCTCGACGTCCATAAGTGCTCTTTCTTCACCAAGGAAGTCACTTACCTAGGATTGATAGTCTCCACCGAAGGAATCAACATGGACCCATCGAAAGTGAAATCGGTCCTAGATTGGCAAACACCTCGCAACCTGAAAGACGTACAGGCATTTATCGGCTTCTGCAACTTCTACCGACGATTCATCAAAGGATTCGCTAGCATAGCGGAACCGCTCACTACATTGACAAAGAAGGAGAATAGGGACACCAAGTACCCCTGGCCTGCTGATGGACCTGAAGATAGGGCATTTGAGAAGCTAAAGAAGGCCTTCACCACAGCTCCCGTTCTAGCACACTTTAACCCGGACAAACAGTCGTGGGTGGAAACTGATGCGTCCGACTATGTTACCGCCGCAGTTCTCTCCCAAGAGGACGAGGATGGGGTTTTGAAACCAATAGCGTTCCTGTCAAAACGCATGGCTCCGGCAGAAACGAACTACGAGATTTATGACAAGGAACTGCTCGCGATAGTTCGAGCATTTGAGGAATGGCACCCAGAGCTAGCAGGATCGCCAGTCGAACACCCCATTCAGGTACTCTCCGATCATAAGAGTCTTGAATACTTTATGACAACGAAGCGGTTAAACCGAAGACAAGCAAGATGGGCTGAGTTCCTTGCGGAATTCAACTTTATCATCAAGTACAGACCGGGACGACTTGGCACTAAACCGGACGCGTTGACAAGGAGACCAGGTGACCTTCCAGAAGATGAATCAGATCCTAGAATCACTTTGCAGCAGCAGGTGATATTGAAGCCAGAGAAAGTCGATCTAGAGATACGCAGACAGGTGTCGTTGGCGACACTTTTGATTGATGACTTCTCTATGACAGTCAAAGACCTGGCTTTAGCCGTAAACGATTTCCACGAATCACTAAGACCTGATGACCCAATAGTCGCCACCGACACATTTCTAGACGATCAACAAGACGCCCCCTCAACTGATGATCTTCGATCCAGAATCATATCGCTTAGCAAAACCGACTCAATCATCCAGATGTTGACGAAAGCCAAACGGAGAGGGGACCGAATAATTCCCCACGCTCTCCTACATACCCACAGGCTACGGATAGACCTTGCAGACTGCTCGGTCTGCGACGACGGGGTGTTGCTTGTGCGGGGGAGACCCTTTGTCCCAAACGATGAGAAGCTGAGAGTGGACATCTTGAAATTAGCGCACGACGCGCCGGTGAGCGGTCATTCTGGGAAGAACAATACCTACTCGAGACTAAGCAGACTCTATTACTGGCCAAAGATGACGGAAGACGTGACACGCTATGTGAAAGCCTGTCACAGGTGCAGGGTCACCAATGTGAACAGAGATGGCCACAAGGGCCTACTTCATCCCCTCCCAATTCCAGAGAGGTATTGGACGGATATCTCGGTCGATTTCATCGTTGAATTGCCTCCGTGTCTCTACAACGGCACCGAATTCAAGAACATCATGGTCGTCGTCGACAGACTCTCGAAAAAGAAGAAGTTCATCCAGATCAGATCGCTGGAAGTAGAAGACGTGGTCCAGGCATTTATTGAATATGTCTGGCGCGAGGAGGGATTCCCAAGGACTGTCGTCTCTGATAGAGGCAGTCAATTCGTCTCTCAGTTCTGGAAGAATCTCTGTAAGACCATTGGAGCGAAGCCGAAACTCTCTACCGCGCATCATCCAGAAACAGATGGACAGACTGAGTCAGCGAACGCTTCACTGAAACAGTTCCTGAGAACGTTTGTGAATTATAAGCAAAATGATTGGGTCACGTGGTTACCTATCGCCGAATTCGAATCAAACGCGTCACCGAATGCATCAACATCCGAATCACCTTTCGTACTCACCAAAGGTTACCTGCCACGCATGGGCATCGAAATGGACGAATCCCTCCGCACCTCTCAACCTGCCGTCAAGTTAGCTACGCAAATTCGTGACATTCAATTGAGAGTCCGGAAACAGCTAGAGTGGGCGCAAGCGCTGCAGAAGGAACACGCAGATAAACACAGACTGCCTGCTCCGCAGTTCAAAGTAGGTGATTGGGTCTACTTAGACACTCGGTACCTTAACTCAGCTCGACCTTCGAAATCACTCGATTTGAAGAACATTGGCCCGTTCCAGATTACTCGAGCGATCGATCACTTTGCTTATGAACTAGACCTCTCATCGAACGCCCTCGAAGGAGTCCACCCTGTATTTCACCTATGGCTACTCCGACTCGATGACAGCAAGCCATTCGATGGCCAACGACCTCCAAGAGCAGAAGCCGAAAACCAAAATGACGACGGAACTCGGGCAGACTACGAAGTGAAAAAGGTAGTAGACTGTAGAATCGACAATAGAAGGAAGGACAAAGCGACAGGATAGAAGGGCTGCATCATGTACCGAGTACAATATGAAGGATGGGACGCATGGAACGAAAAACCGAAATGGCAGCCATGGTGGGAACTCACGGGCGCGCCTGATCGAGTGAGAGAATATCACGATGCACACAAGGACTCCCCTGCGTTATATCCATCTTTCTTCGACGAGGAAATTTGGCGTGACTTCGTCTACGCCCTTGCGATTGATACGTTCCGACAATCGGAACAATGAGATGCGATGGACTGAAGCAGACGCTAGAACCGCTCTGCCGACCAAGGTACCGGCCTAGATGATAGCGGGACACCTTCTCGACCACTCTGACGAGACGAGGCATCTAGACGAGGAGCTACTGAATAATCGTCTGGAGAGGCCTATCTCAAGACTCAGAGGACTTCGCGTGTTTTGAGGAGGGGGTAGTGTGAAGGATCGAAGACTGAATTCAGTCTGATGCCTTGGGGCCTTGGGATGTGGAGGCCTTACGGCCTCACGATGTGTTGTGGTCACCCCAAGGCCTACTGAATATTTCCCCTCACACTTAGATCTCCCTTTCCCCTTTGTAGATTGATTCTAGTATATCACGAATCACAGAGTTTTGCCTCATTCTTCGTGCCCTAAACTAAATCGTGCAAAGAAGTGTTGGTAGACTTCTTTGGAGTTGTATGAGGGACAAAACCTCAGGGTTTAAATTTACAGAGTAGACTTCTTTGGAAGTTTGAGCCATAGAACACTTCCCTGAACATGGTTTAATTACTATAAAAACCGATACAAAAGAATCACACCTCTTACTTCTACCAGCTCTATCAGTTTCTAGATAAAAAAACCAAAATTCTATGAGATATCGATGGTTGAAGTTGTTGGCGATTTTGATGGGGTAAGGTTAGCTAGGTGGCCATGTAACGGTATGTAGGCCTCAGGCATTCAGGCCAACATCAGATATTAGCTCACACAACTGTCACGGTCGCACTTTTTCGTGCTTCAAGGCGTCGAGAGATTACTGCCTTATAGCCTGACGATCACAGGACAGTCGCATGTATTGAGAGGTAAAAAGCAAATAACCACTGCGGCAAGAGACACATGTAGATCAGATTCCTCTTTCGTTTCTATTTCCTTTCCCTTTCTTTATCATTCGTTTCATTGAATGTAAGCTACTTTACCATCGTGATCCATCTCTATGGTCCTCTATAATAGCACTGTAACACAAAGTGAGTTAGATTTAGTTGCTTAGATCTATTGTAGATGAAAATATAGCTAATATAATCATAGTCGATCAAATCTAGAGTCGTTTTAATCCTGAATCCACCCGATCCCGAACCAAGCCGATCTAACCACACATAAGCCCCCAAACCGCTCTAAACCCGTCAATACAATCCTCACCAGTGACATGAATCCAGAGGCGTATTTCACCCGGATCCGTGAATATGGGTTAATTGTATGCAAAGAGTGTCGGTACTGCGTATGGCCACAGGATATCCGAGGCCATTTAAAGGGAGAACATCATAAAGCGAAGAAAGAGGTAGTCGATGCGATAGATACGGTCGTCCAACGATGGCGGGGATTAGTCCGGGATCCTATAGAGTTTCTAGTCCCCCAGGCGGTCGCTGAACCGTTCGAGGCGTTACCATTGTTCGAGGATGGGTTAATGTGTCGGTTACCGGTTAACAACGAATCTATCGATGTGGTATGTGGGAAGGTTTCCCGTAACCGTAAGGCATTGATCACTCACTGGCGGACCGTCCACGATTGGACTATGACCAAGAAGCGAGGACAAGGACAGGGCGGTGGACAGACCAACGAGGGGAAAATCGCTGTACAACGGCGATTTAACAACGCAGTCGAGAAGGTGTTATGCCAACGATTTTTCACAAGCCGCCATTGTTCACAGTATTTCCGCATCGCCCCACGCATACCAGGGCAGATGCCCCAAGAGCGAATCGACTCGTGGAAACGCATTCAACAGATGGCGGAGGAGAAGTTCCAGGGGATCGAAAAGCGTATTCGAACAAATATTGAGGCTGGGGAGAAGGATGAGCCGAATCCATGGTTAGCGTGCAGTGGATGGCACAAGTATTTAGGCGATTTAGACCGGGAGGATCTGATGGCGTCGGTGGCGAAGCCTGGCGATGGTGGGAAGGATGCCGACCCATTAGAGCAAGTCGTATGGAAGGCTATGACCGATGTTGTCCGGATCAGCCAAGAAACGGTATCGAAAACCGGCATGTTCATCCGGTTGGAAGCTGTTCGGACAGAGGAGCATCAGACGAAATATGTGCCGTTAGAGATCTATTGGGATCCAGATTCCATCGACCGACGAGCACAGCCATGGAGACAGATATTGATGTTTTTCATCCGAACCCAAAAACAGCACGAATGGGAGAGTCCAGCGTACAAGTTCACCCAGGCGCAGATGCAGGCGTTTGTCCGGTTAATAGCGGAGGCCGAGAAAGTACAGGACGAAACGGAGGAGAGAGAAGAGGACGACAACGACGACGACGACGACAACGACGACGACGAACCACGTCCTGACAAGAGCGACGAGTTCCCTACGATGACACCCGTTCAAACAGCATGCTTAGAGTTTTGCATCCAGTTATTGAACCACAAAGTCATGCGGAACGAGTACGAAAGTGCGTTGGTATGCGTATTAGCTGTATTGGGCGTTAATGGCGACACATGGAGGGATCCGGAGACATATCCACCTATCCTGTCGTCTATCATCAAGTGTGCTCGGTTTATGGTTATCCAGAAAGCTGTGAATATGGCCGGTCCCCCAGACGAGCCAGATGGATATCGACAAGGGTCGGTTATCGATTTCGAGGGTAGTAATAGCGAGTACGAAAGCGGCAACCGGTCCCCATCCCTAGGAGCATCCCCAGCGGCATCCCTAGGAACATCCCCACCCGAAAGGTCGTCCCAGACATCCCCTAAAACCGCAATATTCCCATGGTCTAGCCCACCCGTTCGGTTAGTCCGATCGAGCCGCCAATCAGACGAGCCGGACTGTTTAGAATGGGTTAACCGGATGATGGATGGGTTCATGGTTCGCGGTAGCAAAAGTCCTATGCAATGGATGTTGAATTTGCGCACGTATGGGCTGAAGATCCATTATAACACAACCGCTCGCGGCCATGTGGAGTGGAACGATGGCGAGACGTTACTGTACAAGGGCACTCAGTTCAGTATGGCCCAGTTCCGCGGTATGATCCACGGAATACTGTTCGAGACGCGCCAAATCATGGCTGAATTATTATTTTGTACTGACGGAGTGGGAGACATGCCCATCGTCCCATGGGAGCTATTGCGCGACGACCCGACCAATGGACGCCCCGGATGGAACTTTTTACAGGACCAACGGACTCGATTCCCTGTGAATGGAGAGACATGGCTGTTTGACCGAATTGGTAAGCACGAGGCAATGCGGCGGGAATTTGAGCGACCTGATAGCGAGAGCGGTGTCCGCCGGAAGGGAGTGAACGATTATATGACCAAGCTGTCACGGTTTCGCGAGAAGTTGCTAGTATTGATGCACATTACTGGCGGACAGCCTGCAAGAGGGACTGAGCTATTGAGCATTCGACATCAGAATACCGCTAAAGGGGCCCATCGGAACGTTTTCATTGAGGACGGTATGGTCGTGTTTGTAACCCAATACCACAAGGGATACGCTATTAGTGGCAACGTCAAGATTATCCATCGGTATGTGCCACGGGAGGTCGGCGAGTTGGTGGTCCGGTATTTGTGGTTGGTATTACCGTTCCAGCAGCGCATGCAGTCGTTGATCGATGGCCATATCCCGTCCCCAGCCCATATGTGGCCTAAGCAGCAGTATCGGCAGTCGTGGACGTCGGAACGGATGGCCACGGTATTGCGGCGCGAGACGGAGATCGGATTGGGGCATCGAATAGGCATTATGGATTACCGGAACGTTGCTATTGGGATTAGTCGACGATTCATGCGCGCGCCGACTGCGTTCCAGCAAGACGACGAGGAAACTCCCGATCCTGAGCAAGCCGAGGCAGAGATTGCGGATCTACAGGCAGGCCATTCCACGCATGTGGCTGGAATGGTGTATTCCCGCGGTATCATAGAGATGGCCGGCGCGGTAGCCGACACACGGATGCGGTTCCGAGGATCTAGCGTCGATTGGCATCGGTTTTTGGGTTTCGAGAGCGCCCAGGAGCCGAGAGGGAGCTCTAAACGACGGTGCCTATTCGAAGACGACGCTAACGAGGCGCGGTTCGAGCGATGGGCGCGAATACGGAGGATGAACGCCGCCGAGCAGTTCCAGCGTATGATGGGGAGGGAGGCTACGTTCCGGGGGGTCCAACAGGAAGCCATCGAGGCGATTCAAGCCGGGGTTAGCCCCGTAATATCGATCATGCCCACCGGGTCTGGCAAGTCGGTATTATTTATGTTACCAGCATGGGTCGAGCCGGGAGGGACGACCATTATCGTTGTACCATTGGTCGCATTGCGCAAGGACATGAAACGACGATGCAAGAAGCTAGGGATCGGATGCGCCGAATGGAACGGTCGTAGGCCACCCGATGCCGAAAGCATTGTGCTGGTGACGCCAGAGTCGGCCGTGTCCGGGGAATTCCAGACGTTCATTAACCGGTTGAAAGCGACGAGGCGGTTAGATCGGATCGTGATCGACGAGTGCCACGTCATATTGAACGATCAAACTGGTTTCCGGCCCATATTGCAAAGGTTAGGGTCGTTAGTAGCCGCCGAGACGCAGATGGTGCTATTGACGGCCACGTTGCCACCTAGCAAGGAGAGGGTACTACGGGAGCGTATGCATTGGCAGGACGAAGGCGTCGTGATTCGAATGCCCACCGTCCGGACGAATATCCGGTATTCAGTGGCTTCAGTAGACCCCCGGGCTAGGCAGGAGGACCAGGACGCCGTGATCGAAGCGTTGGTGGACCAGGAGGACGGTAAGGTGGTGGTATATTGTAATTCCCGATCCCGGGTCGAGCGGTTAGCACGAAGCGGGTTAGGCGTCTGCGAGGCGTTCCATGCGGGTTTACCAGACAAGAAAAAGGCGGAGGTTTTAGAGGAATTTCGTACTGGAGAGATCCGCATCGTCGTGGCTACTAGTGCGTTAGGGATAGGGGTCGATATTCCCGATATCCGGCTAATTATTCATGCCGATGTGCCACGGAATTTGATAGATTTCGCACAGGAAAGCGGACGAGCGGGACGGGACGGACAGCCCAGTCGATCGATCGTTGTCGGGAATTCCAGTAAGGATGAGTTAGTGCAGCGGTTTTTACGAAGTGATGGAGGGTGTCGGCGGATAGTGCTCGACGAGTACTTAGATGGGCACCAGGGGCGACGTAGATGTGAAGGAGCGGAGGCATGCGATTTATGTCGGCCCGGTCATCAATCCATAGACGGCGAATCGGTAGAGGCGTTAAGCGAGACAATCGATGCATTCGAAGAGTCCAATGCGTTGGGAGAGCCGGGACATGTTCAAGGATCGAGAGAAGTCGACGTGGGAGAGGAAGAACGACCTATAAACGAACATGATCCCCCAGACGGCGAATCGACGGACGACGACGAATCGACGGATGACGACGAATCGATAGATAGCGAATCAACGGAGGAAGCCAATTTCGCGATACAATTCGATCAGCAGCAGAGGGAGTTAGCAGCGATCCGCCGACGAGCGGTCCAGGCACGACAGGACGAGGCACTAGGAGTGGATGAATTGCAACAGCGATTGGACGAATGGCTGGGCGTATGTGTGGTATGTCGCAGGCACGATCACGTCGTTACGGCATGTCCACAGGTCGAAGCACAGGAGGCACGAGTAGAGATCGACCGGCGACGAACCAGAATCCGATACGCGGCATATTCGTGTTGTTTCCAGTGCGGGGTAGCGCAGGCACTATGCGAGCGGTATACGGCGGATGAAAACGGACGATGGAGGACGACGGGGAAGAGGTGTCAGTATTTTGGAGTGGTCAAGGCGGTGGTTTGGGGGCTACGGTGGATCGATCCAGGGGTATACCAGGAGTGGATATCGCGGTTAGACGGGTTCGGCGTTAGCATTAGTTCCGAAGTAGCTATTGACGAGTATTTAGCGAGGCGCGAATACAAGAGCGGGATTGAAGGGGGGAGTTTGATGTGGGAGTTTGGCTGGATTGCGGGGCGGTTAGCAGGTCGATAGGAAGATCAATCCAATGATTTTTAGCGAAGACGATTAGCGACCTAGTAATAAGTAATGATTTATATATGGAGCGACTTCAGTCGATATCAGGAGTTATAGAAGGTCAGACGAAGTAGTAAGACGAAGGGGCAAGACCATACACGCAAGACCAAGAAACAAGATGAAGAGGTAAGATGAAGAACACGATAAAAGAGCAGGACCACGCAGCAAGACCACGCATTAAGGCGAAGAATCAAGACGAAGGAGCAAGACGATGCAGCAAGACGACGCAGCAAGACGAAGAAGTAAGACCATACAGAAAGACGACGGAGCAAGACGAAGGAGTACGACCACGCAGCAAGACGAAGGAGCAAGATGAAGGCACAAGACGAAGGAGCAAGACGAATAAGTAAGACGACGCAACAAGACGATGTAGCAAGACGAAAGGGCAAGGCGGCGCAGCAAGACGAGGAAATAAGACGAAGAAGCAAGACGAGGACGCAAGACTATAGAGCAAGACGACGCAGTAAGACGAAGGAGCCAGATGAAGAAGCCAGACGAAGGAGCGAGAATATAGAATAAGACGACGCAGCGAGACGATACAGCGAGACGAAGGGAGATGAATTGAGACGAAGACGTAAGACGACAGAGCGAGAGGAAGGAACAAAACCACGGAGTAAGACGAAGAAGCAGGACAATGGAGCAAGACAAAGCCAGACAATAGAGCAAGACAAAGCCAGACGAATAAGTAAGGCAACGCAGCAAGACGAAGGAGCAAGACGATAGAGTAAGACGATGGGGCAAGACGATAGAGGAAGACAATAGAGTAAGACGAAGAAGTAAGATAAAGACGTAAGACAAAGAAGTAAGACGAAGGAGTACGACGATGCAGTAAGGCGAAGAGGCAAGACCACGCATTAAGACGAAGAAGCAAGACGAAGAAGCAAGACGAAGAAGCAAGGCGAAGAAGCAAGACGAAGAAGCAAGACGAAGAAGCAAGACGAAGAAGCAAGACGAAGAAGCAAGACGACACAGCAAGACGAAGAAGTAAGACTACACAGGAAGACGAAGGAGCAAGACGAAAGAGTACGACTACACGGTAAGACTAAGGAGTAAGATGAAGGTACAAGACGAAGGAGCAAGACGAATAAGTAAGACGACGCTACAAGATGACACAGCTGGACGACGCCATAAGACGACGCAGCTAGACGACGCAGCAAGACGATAAAGATAAAGCCAGACGAAGGAACTAGACGAAGGAGCTAGGCGAATAAGTAAGGCGACGCAGCAAGACGAAGGAGCAAGACCATAGAGTAAGGCGACGCTATAAGACGATGCAGCGAGACGAAGGAGCAAGACGACGCAGCAAGAAGAAGAAGTAAGACCACACAGAAAGACGAAGGAGCAAGACGAAGGAGCAAGACGAAGAAGCAAGACGAATAAGTAAGACGACGCAATAAGACAAAATGGCAAGGCGGCGTAGCAAGACGAGGAAGCAAGACGAAGGAGCAAGACGAGGACGCAAGACCATAGAGCAAGACCATAGAGCAAGACGACCCAGTAAGACGAAAGAGCCAGATGAAGAAGCAAGATGATAGAGCAAGACGATGGAGCAAGACAATGGAGAAGGACGATGGAGTAAGACGATGGAGCAGGATGATGGAGCAAGACGATGGAGGAAGACGATAGAGCAAGATGATGGAGCAAGACGATGGAGGAAGATGATGGAGCAAGACGATGAAGGAAGACGATGGAGCAAGATAATGGAGAAGGACGATGGAGCAAGACTATGGAGCAAGACGATGGAGCAGGATGATGGAGCAAGACGATAGAGCAAGACGAAGAAGCAAGGCCACCCAGGAAGACGAAGGAGCAAGACGATGGAGCAAGATGATGGAGCAAGACGAAGAAGCAAGATGAAGAGGTAAGACAAAGAAGCAAGACGAAGGAGTACGACGACACAGCAAGGCGAAGAAGCAATACCACGCAGCAAGACGACGCAGTAAGACAAAGGAGCCAGATGAAGGAGCAAGATTACCCAACACGATAGAGGAGCAAGATCACGCAGCAGGACCACGCAGCAACGCCACGTATTAAGACGAAGAAACAAGACGAAGGAGCAAGGCGACGCAGCCAGACGATGGAGCACGATGACGCAGTAAGACGAAGAAGCAGGACCACGCAGGAGGACGAAGGAGCAAGACGAAGAAGCAGGACGATGGAGCAAAACAAAGCCAGACGATGGAGCAAGACAAAGCCAGACGATGGAGCTAGACGAAGGAGCCAGTCGAATAAGTAAGGCGACGCAGCAAGACGAAGGAGCAAGACCATAGAGTAAGACGACGCTACAAGACGATGCAGCGAGACGAAGGAGCAAGACCATAGAGTAAGACGACGCTACAAGACGATGCAGCGAGACGAAGGAGCAAGGCGACGCAGCAAGACGAAGGAGGAAGACGAAAGAGCAAGACCATAGAGTAAGGCGACG